GCAAGTAAATATTCCTTGGGCGCTGGATTCTACACTCAAAAAGCCATCTCCTAGACCTAGTGGAGTTGAGTCAGTTTTTGGTTTTAGTAATGAAAATCGAAAAAAATCATGTTTTTTCAGTGTAGATTTTTCTGTGAGATTTAGCAAGTAAATATTCCTTGGGCGCTGGATTCTACACTCGAAAAGCCATCTCCTAGACCTAGTGGAGTTGAGTCAGTTTTTGGTTTTAGTAATGAAAATCGAAAAAAATCATGTTTTTTCAGTGTAGATTTTTCTGTGAGATTTAGCAAGAAAATATTTCTTGGGCGCTGGATTCTACACTCAAAGAGCCATCTCCTAGACCTAGTGGAGTTGAGTCAGTTTTTGGTTTTAGTAATGAAAATCGAAAAAAATCATGTTTTTTATGTGTAGATTTTTCTGTGAGATTTAGCAAGAAAATATTTCTTGGGCGCTGGATTCTACACTCGAAAAGCCATCTCCTAGACCTAGTGGAGTTGAGTCAGTTTTTGGTTTTAGTAATGAAAATCGAAAAAAATCATGTTTTTTATGTGTAGATTTTTCTGTGAGATTTAGCAAGAAAATATTTCTTGGGCGCTGGATTCTACACTCGAAAAGCCATCTCCTAGACCTAGTGGAGTTGAGTCAGTTTTTGATTTTAGTAATGAAAATCGAAAAAAATCATGTTTTTTCAGTGTAGATTTTTCTGTGAGATTTAGCAAGGAAATATTTCTTGGGCGCTGGATTCTACACTCGAAAAGCCATCTCCTAGACCTAGTGGAGTTGAGTCAGTTTTTGGTTTTAGTAATGAAAATCGAAAAAAATCATGTTTTTTATGTGTAGATTTTTCTGTGAGATTTAGCAAGAAAATATTTCTTGGGCGCTGGATTCTACACTCGAAAAGCCATCTCCTAGACCTAGTGGAGTTGAGTCAGTTTTTGATTTTAGTAATGAAAATCGAAAAAAATCATGTTTTTTATGTGTAGATTTTTCTGTGAGATTTAGCAAGAAAATATTTCTTGGGCGCTGGATTCTACACTCAAAGAGCCATCTCCTAGACCTAGTGGAGTTGAGTCAGTTTTTGGTTTTAGTAATGAAAATCGAAAAAAATCATGTTTTTTCAGTGTAGATTTTTCTGTGAGATTTAGCAAGAAAATATTTCTTGGGCGCTGGATTCTACACTCGAAAAGCCATCTCCTAGACCTAGTGGAGTTGAGTCAGTTTTTGGTTTTAGTAATGAAAATCGAAAAAAATCATGTTTTTTCAGTGTAGATTTTTCTGTGAGATTTAGCAAGAAAATATTTCTTGGGCGCTGGATTCTACACTCAAAAAGCCATCTCCTAGACCTAGTGGAGTTGAGTCAGTTTTTGGTTTTAGTAATGAAAATCGAAAAAAATCATGTTTTTTCAGTGTAGATTTTTCTGTGAGATTTAGCAAGTAAATATTCCTTGGGCGCTGGATTCTACACTCGAAAAGCCATCTCCTAGACCTAGTGGAGTTGAGTCAGTTTTTGGTTTTAGTAATGAAAATCGAAAAAAATCATGTTTTTTCAGTGTAGATTTTTCTGTGAGATTTAGCAAGAAAATATTTCTTGGGCGCTGGATTCTACACTCAAAGAGCCATCTCCTAGACCTAGTGGAGTTGAGTCAGTTTTTGGTTTTAGTAATGAAAATCGAAAAAAATCATGTTTTTTCAGTGTAGATTTTTCTGTGAGATTTAGCAAGAAAATATTACTTGGGCGCTGGATTCTACACTCGAAAAGCCATCTCCTAGACCTTGTGGAGTTGAGTCAGTTTTTGGTTTTAGTAATGAAAATCGAAAAAAATCATTTTAAAATCATGTTTTTTCAGTGTAGCTTTTTCTGTGAGATTTAGCAAGAAGAAATTTCTCGGGCGCTGGATTCTACACTCAAAAAGCCATCTCCTAGACCTAGTGGAGTTGAGTCAGTTTTTGGTTTTAGTAATGAAAATCGAAAAAAATCATGTTTTTTCAGTGTAGATTTTTCTGTGAGATTTAGCAAGAAAATATTTCTTGGGCGCTGGATTCTACACTCGAAAAGCCATCTCCTAGACCTAGTGGAGTTGAGTCAGTTTTTGGTTTTAGTAATGAAAATCGAAAAAAATCATGTTTTTTCAGTGTAGATTTTTCTGTGAGATTTAGCAAGAAAATATTTCTTGGGCGCTGGATTCTACACTCGAAAAGCCATCTCCTAGACCTAGTGGAGTTGAGTCAGTTTTTGGTTTTAGTAATGAAAATCGAAAAAAATCATGTTTTTTATGTGTAGATTTTTCTGTGAGATTTAGCAAGACAAAATTTCTTGGGCGCTGGATTCTACACTCGAAAAGCCATCTTCCTGACCTAGTGGAGTTAGGTCAGTTTCTTGTTATACTGAAAATTTAAAAAAACATCATGTTTTTTCTCGTGTATAATTTCTTATGAGATTCAGAATTTAGCAGTGATATATATAATTCTTTGACTGCTGGAATCTAGACACGACTCTCAGTACTAGTGGTGATAGATTAGTTCATGATTGAAGTATTGAAAATTCAAAGAAAGTACCTTTCTATATGCCTGTAGAATCTTGTTAAACTATTTGAATTCTTTTTCTGATCGTTTACTTCATTTCATCACTTATTTTTATCTATCTCGAAAGAATTCAAACATCTCTCTTAATTGACAATATTTAATGTGTGTAAAATAAGAGTATACAATCATAATTGATGTTTCATCCCCCGACGACTGTAAACAGCATCCTCGATTACTCATTCGGAGTCTCGAAATGAATCCGCATTCGACCCGTTCGGCAAATATGTAACAGCTGATACAAATATAAAGCACCGCGTTACCCTAAAAGGGGGGAAAATAGCGCGCGCCACTGGCTAGCGCAATCGGAAGTGTTCGGAAATTTGGCCGCTCACTCTGGCTGCCAGCTTCACACAGGTTAAAATGCCTACATTCATGCCCTAACTAAAACAACACCATTTCACCAGATGGAAAATTATTGATTGAACAACACACAAAATATGTGAAGTAGGTACTAAGTACTACTAATTCAATAAATCTGTCAAGTTGAGTAATTGATAATGAGAAGATAGTGAAAGAACAATGGCTATCTTTAAATCCTCCAAGGGTGAATTTCTCAATCTCCAACTTACTGAATTTGTCCAATTCGTTAGACCCATGTTCATCAACTAAACAAAAATCCTGAATTGCAACTCCATTTTTTCTCAATAGATTCTTGCTCTGGTACTCCAGTAAATTCAAGTTCCGTGAAGAAACCTGGAAAATAAAATTATAGAAAACAGAAGATATGTTCAGTATTCTCAAAATAATTATCACCCACTTTAAGTATATCATGGTGCTTCAATATATTTCTGACTGAGTTCCACAAAGAGGTCATTATCAGTTTGGTAGTTCACAAAATACACAGTTCACATTAAATTCTTGATTTTTTTAAGCATGAAGAATTTTTAAATGAGGTTGAACCTTTTTTTGTTGAACACTTGATTGTTGAACCAAATTAGATCTATGGTTGAACAGAACAATTCAGTAACAGTAATTCCTGATTCTTGATGTTTTTTTTCTAGAATAAAAAACTGATAAAAAACAAACAGTCAAAAATCTAGGTGCGTTCGGTTTAACAAAATCGGAGCCGAGCGAGCAGATGCAGATTTGGTGTCACGTGATCACCGCTCCGAGGTAGTAGATTGCGAGCGCCAGCTGTCAGAAGTAACAGAAAACAAACAATTCACTCAACCTTATTACTTTTAAAAACACGTCAGGGCAACAAAGTTCTTTTGAATGTTTGTTGTTCACTTGGGTTTATATTTTGAAAATTACTAGGGAGGGAATGATTCTGTCTCATATGATCGGTCATTAACTGTGAATCAGGGCAGTTGTGATCGCATATATTACAGATATATAATGAATTATGCTACCTACAACAAATTCGTCGGTCATTTTGGCGATTCTGGGCAAGGAGGATTCTAGAAAATTCAGTTTCGTGTTTCGTTTCCACTTGATCAAGTCTTCAATTTTTCGACACAAACGAGATATATCATTTCAATAACATGTTGTTGACATCGATTTGTTGACAACTGACAACCAAATAACCGATCAAATCTGTTTGCTCCTCAAGGCGGAGCAAACAGATTACATCTTTCAGCTCGCTCTGACAATCAACGAACAAGGAGAGCAGATTAGACAGAGGAAGTAGATCTGATTTATCGAACGCTTTCCGAGCTAACAGATGGAATCGAGCCAACAGATATGTTATAACCGAACGCACCTTCTGTAGATTGTGGATATATCACACGAATCCGTTTTGCCCAAACATATGCATAGACGATTCCTATAGACCAATCAGAACAATCCAAGAGGCGCCTGCGTGTTGAGATTTTGAGAAACGTCGTCAACTTGTGCAACCACATGCAACAAACATGCAAGTAAACGTTCGACGCATATATGTACTATTTCTATGTATGGCTCATCGCCTATATAGGATATCTCAACAAAAATGGGACCAAAATGAGAGGTACTTTTTGAATCTATAAGGACGGAAAGTGGAAGATGGAAACAGCCATATTGGTCTGACAAGTTTCGAAATTATTTTTTCCCTACGTCAGCATCAACGCCTATTGGTCGATTTCGTTACCTATAGAGACAGAAGTTGGTCCCGCTTTGAGGACAGCTATGCTTCATAAATATGATTAGTAGATATATGGTTCGACGCACTGACGTTTGTACATGGTGTTCTGTGGGGTTTTACTGTCAGTATTGGCACTTGTCACTAATCTTACTGTCAGAAGTGTCAGATCTGTGAAGACGAAGAGGTTAAGGAGTGAGTGAAGGAAGGAGGTAAATAATTGTATTAAAAATTAAAAATCTGTGAACATTTTCTTTTGAAGTTGATATTGACCTAAATAGTCGATTGTTTCTTCCATTGAAGTAGTTATTCTGTATAATTATGTTAGATTGATTGTCTTCTGAATATTCCAGGAAAGATGGCTGCAAGACAATTCATCATTAGATCATTTTTCTCCAAACTTATAAACAGAACTTGTTCAAGAAAACCAACCGGAGTACAAACAGATTTTTTCAAAAATAATCTGCCATTGTCTGTAATGTGTTTATGTGGAGGATCAGCCACAATTATAGCAGTTTGTAAGTTAAGATCTATTCAAAATGTTTATGCTGCACAACCCAAGACTGTGAGTATATATATGAACTTTATTTTTCTTGATGTGGATCTTTATAATCTCAAAACAATTGTGTTCAGGAAGATGAACACATCTCTTGAATTTGTGGTTGAATATATTTTCAATCAAATTGAAGGGTGTATAGGGAAGATTGGGGTCAATGTACAATGAAACTAGCTATAGCCCTTTTCAGTCAGGTACTATAGTTCAATTTATGAAGTTACATATGAAATGTATATTAATGCATATTACTGAATAAATGACTAAATAAAAAAAATAAATCTATTCAAAATATTCCATAATCAACTAGGATTTTTCTCTTGAAAATTATTTGTAAGGACACTTAGAACTAACAGCACTGTCAAAGTCTTCTCCTGTTTCTATTTGTTATATGCTGGACTGTAGGTAGAACTAGTTGGTTGGTGGATGAAAAATTATGATTTACAAGTAGCAAGTTTTTTTTCCAGGTAGATAAGACTATTCAAACTTGTAACATAATACCTAATCAGGTACCTTCAAAAGAGAGAATGGTTTTTATAGTGGAAAACTGGGCTGAATATTTTCCATTTTCAAACATAGAAACTGGTGGTGGGAATAAAGAAATGCAAAAATGGTACACTAACTAATCATTATGATGTAGATATCATATCATGTGAACATATTTTTCAAATAACTACTGTCTATGTAAGCTTCTAAAGACTGAAGAATGTAATGAATACTCCCAACAAGAATTTTAATGATGCTAGAAAAAATTGGAAAATGAAATAAAACATTGTTACCTTACATCCTTGGACATTTTAACACTTTCTCATTAAATCATACAGTCACAACTCATGAGTTTGTTGATTTCAATTTGAAATAGAATATGTTATGTTTGATTAATAATTCTAATTCAGCTGATATAAATAATAGGAGTTGAATAATCAATGAATTATTTTATAAATCATATTTCTCTAACAAATACATTCTCACATACAGTGTGACCCACTTCTAATGGAAACATCCCTGTATCTTACATAATCGTTGGGTAAGGATCCTGAAATTTGCTGAAGCGAGAGTTATACCAAAAATGCACTCTATGACCAAGTGGGGTCATCTTCAGTGATATACACTGCTCGCCAACAGCCATGGAACCACCCCAATTTTCGAAAAATGATATTAGGAGTCAAAATAGGCCGAAAATCACTTCAGATTTGGAATCAGGACGTCCAATTTACTGACTATTCAAATTTTTCCAGGATAATTTTCAGTTCCGAAAAATGAAATTTTGTCGCATTTTTTATGGAAGCACCCCCGTATCTCACGTAATTGACTTTATCTTTGGACTTTCTCTTCCTCCGGCAAATTTCAGAACCCTACCTCAATAATTACGTGAGATACGGGGGTGCTTCCATGAGAATTGAGACAAATTTTAATTTCACTGAACTGAAAATCTTCTAGGAAAACTTTGAATAGTCAGTAACTTGGGCGTCCTGATTCCGAATCCGACGTGATTTTCAACCTATTTTGACTCCTAATATCATTTTCCGGAAATTGGGGTGGTTCCATGGCTGTTGGCAAGCAGTGTATAACACTGAAAATGACCCCACTTGGTCATAGAGTGCATTTTCGGTACATCTCTCGCTCCAGCAAATTTCAGGATTCTTACCTAACGATTACATAAGATACAGGGGCGTTTCCATTAAAAATGGGTCACACTGTAGGTACTTGATATCAATTTCCAACCCTGATTTATTGATTTTCTAATGTACTGGGATTCCTTTCAAGGGTGGACACCAGCAAAGATTACTGAATGACTAGTTTATCTTCTGTAGTCTATGACACGAGCAATTGTAAGTGCTGGGTGTTGTGAGATTTAAAATGTTTCTTGTTATTCTATCATAATATGGAATTAGCTATACATTTACATCAAAATTTTCAGTCATGATAAGTGTTGAATTGAATGAATTACCTACATTATTCAATAAAAAATACTAATAGCAACAACCACTTTATCAATTTCATTTTTAGAGATGTTCAACAAGCATGCCATCAAGTTCAATTATCATGCTGATGATGATATAGCTGCCCAATGTGGATGAAAAGGTAATTTTACTATCTTGTCTGGTGCAAGTTGCTCAATAGCAGAATTTAAATATTATTATATCAAAAGTTTGATGTGAAAGATTTAATGTCAATTCTTTCCTCCTTTTTGTACAGTGAGTTTGATTGTAGAAAATACTATGAAAAATGGCCAAATATGATTTTACTTGAAATCAGTTACTTCAATTCAATAAAAACGCACAACACTGAAAAAGCAATCATATGGAATCTAATACCAATCCCAATTTGATTGGACTAATGATTATTGAATGAGATAAAGGAGGGGGCATTCAAAGTGAGGAGACATGGTGTATATCCAATAAAAGTTGTTGCAAGATTGTATTTCATTGTATTGTATATTTAGAATTTCCTGATACATTTCTTCTCATGAATTCCAATTGAAGAACTGTTTCAGATTACAGATTAGTTTCCCAGCCTACCGATTTGAGAAAGAACATAGTGAATTCATTCATGGTATAATGTTATCATTATTCAGGAAGAATTGTAATTGTTTCTTTCTTTTGAGTACCAAAATATGTTAATCTAGTACATACCTTTAGTTTTGTTAGGTGCCAGTAACTATATCTACAGTATGTGAGTATATCACTAATAATTCTACTTGCACTTTTACTTTACTCTCATTCATTCAGAGTTTCTGCCATTCAACTAACATTTTCTTAGTTTCATCAAGTTATACGTTCAGATTTTTTGAGTTTGCATGTTTATCACTTTTTATTCTAATTTTTGAGTAGCTTTATTTCATTATTTGCTATGTGTTTTTTTAATATTTTGATCTTCCTTGTATCTCATTTCTTTGGATGATTATTCCTCATAATTCTAATTAGGACCATGAAATCCTATCAACTTCATTGAGTGTGAAATAATAATTCATCAAATAATCCAATCCAATAAAATTTAAGTTCATCGGTAAAATCACAAATGAGCTGAGCAACCCAGCAAAAGTGTCAGAAGATACACATCAAAACCCTGACAGCGAATTTGATACATTATAAAGTCACCAATCATTGATTTGTGATTCCCTATTCACCCTCCTGTATAATGATTTCATCCACCAACAAATCCATTCTTTGTTTTGAGGGTATCTATCAGTGAACTAAGCAACACATTTGAAGGTTTAGTTTGTTCACATGAAAGTATTTTGTTTCAGGATGAAGATGTGAAGGTGGTAAAGTTGACATCTAGGGAAAAAAGATTCATTCGCTTTGCATCTGTTGAATATGATGGACAACTCTACATGACCCCTCAAGACTTTTTAGAGTCTGTTGTGGAAGCCGAACCACGCCGTGAGTCCGTTTATAAAATCTGAATTGATGCTTTTTGAAATAACAGCAAATAAATAAGAGCCCCTTGTGTACTCTTCAAGTTCTAGAATAGTTCCTAGTCAACAAAACTTGTTCCCTATATTTGTAGCTAGAATGAAGAGAAAATTATTGACCATGAAGGAACTGGAGAAAATCAAAGAAGCAACACCATCACTGAGCCAAGGCTCGCCAAGATTGTTCAGAAGTTTGAGAGACAAGGGTGTGTTGTCCATTCATGCAATTAAACTTTGATAATTTCCATATTCCTTTTTTTTTAGGTATAATTTCGTACACGGAATATTTGTTTCTTTTATCAATACTTACAAGTAAGTAAAATTCTATACAGTGAGCTGTAGGGAATAGGTTCTTTAGGATTATCTACAACTATAATACTATTTCTTCACTCTCATAATATTCGTCCAATTTACTAACATCAACTTGTTTGATCAATGTTAGCTCCATGATGTCTATGTTATAATCCAACTCACCATTCTTCAAATGTGCAAGATGTTCTGTCAACCTGGTTTCACTGGGTCTTCCAGTTTGGCCTACATTATGTTCTTCAGCAATTCCGCAATAGAATTGCCTAACAAATCACCTAGTATTGATTTGAACGCAATTGGTATTCTGATTGAATGGAATTGGAATTGTTTCTCTCCAATTCACATCTCTTGAAATTCAGAAGGGTGGGCTCAAATCACACTTCTCACAAATTGAATCTTTGATTGGTCAAAGAGGATGACACTAGTGTATGCACGACAAAATTTGAAGTCATGTAATTTCTCTTATACAACTCATTTATGTAACTTTCCAATTATTTTTAGAGCCTCAGTCTGGTTTCAGGATTGCATTCAATATGTTTGATACAGACGGCAACCAACGAGTGGACAAGAACGAATTTCTTGTGGTATGTATTTGCACACTTTCTTGTTATTTACCCCTTCTCAGTAATATCCCTTGTATCATACCTGAACAGATACGGAAACTATTGGCAGGCAAAAAAATTGAAGATGAAGTTGCTGTAAGTTCTATCCATTTCGTTGGATGCTGTAAGCAAACATTTAACAGCTTGATACTTTTTTGTGTGTTTATAACATTGTGTTTGATAATCAACATCGGTTTATGTCACTCATCTGCCAGCGGCATTCGTTGGAAGAGTACTGTGATGTGACCTTAACTAACATTTAATGGAAGGCAAATACTTTGATTTTATGAGACGTTGACATTCTGATTGAAAAAGAGGGTGTCCGGAAAGGTCATGTCATAAAAGATAGGGCTGATAGAGTGAGCCAAAATGATGGTAGTACTTCATGAAAAAAAAATATGTCTATCGCGCTTTCTCACGGAGTTATTGACCTTGAAAGTTAGAATAATAAAAAAGCAATTCATGTATAACTTTCAAACGGTTGCCATGGTATTAATGATATTCGGGCAGGTGAATAAATTCATACTAATGCACCTTTCCATACGTAAACGGCTTTTCAGTGATTATGTTTTATACAGGATGGGACGGTATTTTTCGTTCAATGAAGGCATTTTTGACAGAGGTGACAAATTTGACATTTTGCTTTCACCGGTGATGCCCTTTGTCTTTTATCTACAAAAATGGAATACTTCATTTCAATCGATATCTTGTACCGATTTAGAGAAAATCGCATTTAAAAACATACATCCCAACCGTTTCAAAGGTGATAAAACTCTATTTATTATCAATGTATGGATAGGACTAATTGGCAACTGCTCAATTATGGATCTTTATGATTGTTGGAACTTCAAATTCAAGTAAATATTCAACTCTTTTTGCAAATACATCCAGAACAGTTGTTAGAAGAGGTTCTTCTTAATATTCCAGGTGAAATGTGGCTGATGTACGATGGTGTGCCTCCTCGATTTGACAAAGCTGTAGGAGATCTTTTGAACATCACATTTCCCCATGGTCCTTCTCCATGGCCACCTCGGTCACCTGATCTTAATTCTCTTTATTTATTTCTTTGGGGCTATCTTAAATGTTTAGAATCAAACACCTGTAAATATTAGGACGGGGCTTTTGAATCGAATTTTTACATCTGCACATACCCTGAGAAATGATCATCATCACATGTTATCGTGAATACAACGCTGATGTTTAGACAAGTTTAGAAAATGTGTTGAAGTTCAAGATGCACATAACCATTTTTGATAATCTTTTGGCTTCACTGATGTTATTAAATGTGTAAATGGAGCTTTTATTACCTCTGAAACGGTTGGAATGTATGTTTCAAAATGTGATTTTCTCTATACCATTTTTGTAGATAAGATAAGGGAATCGAATGGTGGAAGCAGAATATGAAATTAGTATGAGTTTATTTACCTGTCCGAATATCATTGATACCATGGAAACCGTTTGAAAGTTATACATGAGATTCATTTTTTCTATTCAATCTTTCACAATAACTCCGTGACGAAGCGCGAGACATATTTTTCATATGAAGTACCAACAGTATTTTGGTCCACTCTATCAGCACTATCCTTTGCGACATGACTTTTCCGGACACCCTGTATAAGCGAAAATAATTCTTGAAAACATGATGTTTCCATAACTCAATGGCTTCTGCAATAATTTTTTTTTTTTACAGAAAATACACTCAATTGAGAAAATAATATAATAATCACCAATTGAACATATGGTGAATCATCATGGATCTTACTATGTAAGATTTCCAACATAAAAGCATATTAATTCTATCACATCAGTGTTTCATCCTAAAAAAATCGCACGGTTTGTGTTGTTTTTGAGATGTTTCGAGTTTATATACGAATACTAATGATCAGTGCCGTAAATAGCCTTTTCTGCGCCCTGTGCATGCGAGCTTCTATAACTGCGCTCTTATATATTGATTTAATTTCAAGTACTTGGTATGTTAAAGTTTTGAATAGAGAAGGTAGCATAATATAAATTGCATTTAAGTATGAATTGGTGAAAAAACATTTTTTCGAAAATATTTGCAAGATTATTTACAACTACATAATACATAATACACAAATGATTGAGACCACAAATGAATGAGTTCAGATAGTGAAGATTCTTTCAAGCAAGCCATGAACATTTTCACAGATTTACTTTTCGCGCTTTCTTCATTGCGAAATCGTCGATAACTTTTTCATACGACAGGCAGCGCCCTATGCCGCGTTCAATCGACAAAATCGCTAGGCCGGTCAACCTTTCTTGGCCGATCGTAGAGCGCAAGTAAGTTTTTATTAGTTTGAGCTTACTGAATGATCTTTCGCAGGAAGCTACAGTCACTGGCATTGTTAAAAAAATCTTTATAGCGACTACTGCATTGGGAAACATATCTTTCAAATCTAGTTCGACTATAGCTTTAAGAAGACCCAGACTTGTACTACGGTCACATTTATTAAATAATATAGTCGTTTCAGCTTGACTCTTTAAAGTGTCTAATTCAGCCCAAAATTCAGTATTATTAATATCTGCTGAATATTTGATACTCAAATCAGCGGCATGTTTTTTTAGTTCTTCAGCTGGATATTTAGCAATATTTTCTATTGTCAAAAAATTGAAAAGGTGGTGAATATTGTGAAGTTTCTCGAATCTCCATGTGAATTCAGAAATCATTTTATCAATTGCTTCATACATATTAATTTTGAACCTTTGCTGTGGGGTAATATCGTAGCCGGCGTCTGAGATTTCTCCAAGGTCTTGTCTTTTCACTCGCTTTTTACGTTTTTCCGGAAAATAGTCCTCAATTTCACACTCTACACAAACTTTTTCTGCCTTTTCAAAAACGTTATCTATAGTCTCGCGAATATTCTGAATCTGCCTTATTAATCCTTTGATTAATTCAGAGGCTTTGTCAATTGCAATAGTTTTCGACTGTAAAGCTACGTTCACCCTATCAACAGACTCTAAAACTTGATCCCAAATTTGCAGAGTACATATAAATTTATAGTTTATTAGACCCATAATGCTTTTAGCTGTAGCTACTGTTTCTGCATTGTAATCGTTGGTAGTTAAAATCCTCAGTGCACACCAGATTTGGGGCAGTTGCATATTTAAAGCTTTAACGGCTCTAGCTTTAGAAGCCCATCTAGTATCGGCATGTTTCTTTAAAGAAATTTTTAGATGTTTCATTAAGATTTCCCATCTGATGGTAGAACTCGAAAAAAACAGAAATATCTTCTGAATTGTTCCAAAAAATGTGATCATGTCGGGTGTTACACTAGCGGCATGTACGCCAGACAAATTCAAAGAATGTGCTGCACAAGGTAGGTATTCAGCATTTACATTGATTTGTTTAATTTTGGCTTGAACTCCGTTATATTTACCAGCCATGTTACTGCCATTATCGTACCCTTGGCCACGAACATCATCAATTTTCAATCCGTCAGCTTCTAATTTCGTTAAAATTTCTTTTGACAATCCATCGCCCGTTTTTTCGTGAGATAGAATAAAATCTATGAAACGTTCTTCTATGGTAACTGTCTGTTCAGATATTTTTACGAACCTCAAAATTTGTGACATCTGTTCTTGATGCGATACGTCCGGCGTGCAATCAAAAATCATAGAGAAGTATTTTGCGGCACGCACCTCATCTATGATTTGTTTTTTGACCTCGGAAGCGAGAATATCTATTAACTCGTTTTGAATGTATGGCGTAAAATACGAAATATTGCCTTTATTAAGTGACTCGACGTGCGCTCTAAGTTCAGGATCAAATTTTGCTCGTGCGCTGCCAAAAAAAATGAGCGCGGTGTTTTGTCTACTCTTGATGATACTGGCATATAGGTAAGTATGTGTTGCAATCGAGCACTAGGGGCGCAGCAATAACGGGAACTCATCATGAGCAAACCGAAACAATGATAGTCCTGCCTGCTTTGGCCATTCTTTCTTGCGCCCCCCAGAGTCTACGCCCTGTGCCTGGGCACCGGTGGCACCGCCCTATTTACGGCACTGCTAATGATATTGGTAATCTCTTCCTTACAATATTGAAGATATACCTGGATGTGATTGTCTGGAGACTCTGCTATTTATTATTCACTTTGTTCCTTCTTTCTTTAGATGGAGAAAATATTCAGTCATGCTTGGAAAGGTAAACGAGGCATGGCCAATGAAGAAACTGAACAAGTGACGACAATTCAAGAACAATACGTTGATGATGAACAGGGCTTACAGAGGAAACATGTGGTTGATACGACACTGATTGTTCACTTCTTCGGTCTGAGAGGAAATCACGATTTGAACTTCGAGAGTTTCAAAAAGTTTATGCTCCACTTACAAACTGAAGTTCTGGAATTGGAATTCAATGAGTTTTCCAAAGGCCTTGCCACTATTTCTGAGGTTGATTTTGCCAAGATACTATTGCGATACACATATTTAGATACGGATGAATATGACATGTACCTGGATAGGTTATTAGATAGAATGAAGGATACTAAAGGTATCACTTTCGAAGAGTTTCACGTGTTCTGCCAATTCCTCAATAATTTGGAAGATTTCACTATTGCCATGAGAATGTACACCCTCGCGGATCATCCAATATCGAAAGGTAAGTTGATAATCTGAGTCCTTTTTGAAAAAATAAAACAAATTCTTACGCGTCATTTGTTTTGTATGTGGATGATTTTTTATAATGGACTTGCCAGCGAAAAATTCAATTTCATTGTTTGAATCGATTTATATGCATTTTTTGCCAATCTTGCCAAATTTGTCTGCTGATTATTGAAGTGTAAATTTCTCAATAGTACATTATTACCTGACATTTACAGATGAATTCCATAGAGCGGTTAAGATATGTACGGGTACCAATCTGAGTCGACATTTAGTTCATACAGTATTCGCCATATTTGACGATGACGGAGATGGTTTATTGAGCTATCGAGAATTTATAGCCATAATGAAGGACCGTTTACATAGAGGATTCAAGGTTAGTGGAATAATGATTCAGTGAAGGTCAGAAATCAACACACACACACACCTCGTTTTCCTTTACATGGAGCCACCATCCTATATCATTGACTAGACTCAAAATAATCGCCAAAACATGTTTTCTACTATATGGTCATCCACCCATGTCTTTTGGGCGATTTGCTTTTTCCGGCCGAGGAATTACGATTGAGTAAACGCACTGATCCAAGTATGCCTTCTGCATTCCACCAGCCAGGATGTGTGCCTCCTAGGGAGCCGATTATCAGGATGACCAATTCCACAGAATGGTCTGGATAGAGCCTGCGGAGTTCGAAGAGAAGATCTCGATATTTAGTCCGTTTCTCCTCCTCCTTCAAAACGATGTTCGGTTCGGCTGGCGCCGAAAACTCGATCACCAACATCGCTTTGGTTTGATGGTCGAGGACTACATCAGGCTTGTTAGCTTGTATTTGCCTGAGGGTGGGGAATGAGAAGTTCCAATAAATTCGGCACCTCTCATTCTCCACAACGGACTCAATATCCCCCGGAGCATACGGCAGCACTGGGGTCTCGTCTATTCCGTACGAGTGCCTCAAATGATAGTAGAGCACTCGCAATGTCGCATTGTGTCTATGGATGTAGGCCGAGACTGCATACACCGTGCAAGAAGACAGCAGATGCATAATTGTCTCGGGCGCCCTGCGAAAGGCCCTGCAATTTGTGTCAGGGACCCACCCATGACACGGCTACGGTAGACGAGAGTGTTAAAGACCCCATCCTGGCATGAGCCCCTCTGTTTCCGATTCAAGCCCGCCTGACTTGAGAAAGGCAAAAGTGCCCCGGTCTTCAATGGTCTTGAAGTAGACCGAATGCATGGGCTTATCCATGTGACGCTGCAGGAGCTTTCTCACTTCTGCAGCTTTGAGGCGGGCCTTTCTCCGAGCGGGCTCTAGCTCAGTTACTGAGTCCTGAGCCTCGCACTCGGAGTCAAAAATCAGAGACAATTCATCGGCTGCTCGACGTGCTGCCCTAAAAAGAAAAGCTCCTACTCCCGCCGTTGTGAAGAAACTTCTTCGTTTGTATAATTTGGAAGAAAAACATTGTGAATCGCTCAAGAGATATGCTAATACGGGGGCGGGGTGGAACAAACAGAAGGGGCTCCATAAGAATGACGTATATTTTGAATCGCAAGTTGAATTACATTGCCAGAATCATTTTATTCACTATTTTATCCATTTTGCGCAAACCTTCAAGATTAAACGTACATTATATACATATATATCTCATAATAATATTTTCATCTCATATCTTAATACTGACTAATCTTCACAGTTTCACAGGTACCTCGAAAATGCTATGTTAATTTTCTGCCTCTTATTAAATGAAAGCTATATTGACAGTTTTGATGAGCAGGATATTCCCAATTTGTCATTTAACGATAATCCTGAATATTTCAATATCAATTTCTTCCTCCATTAGATGAAAGATTTCATCATGCCGCAATGCTATTTATCTTTGATTTCTCAAACATGACATCGAATTTGTTTGCTGAAGTTGATATCATTTTCTTGTTGCAGTCGTACGCCAAAAACGAAGGTTGGGAAGCGTTTAAATCTTGTATCAAGCAAGAGATGAAAACACCTGCTTAAAATTTTCGATTCTCGAATCTATGTGATCTATCTTGTTTTAATGTTTTTTTCATTGTGCTGGTTGGAGTTTCCTGATTGAATTCACGTTCGCGACGACAGTCGGATATGCCAGACTGTCTGGGAACAATTTTTCGTTCATAGTTTTGTTCATATTTGCTACACTTCCTAGGTGTTCTTCAAGTTTAGATATCAAAACGACACATGTCATTATCTTGAAGAATATTATAAAAATATTACAAAATAGTTAAAATGTAATTTCATTCTCAATCAGGAAACGTCTTGGTACCAAATATTTGAAATTTTGTGATATAAGTGGACGTCTCTCGAATACTTGTCGGATTGTTCGTTTTATGTAAATCCATTGTTTTTGTTGCTATGTTGTATGTTAATGCGCTGCTCGAATTACTGTAACCAATTTGTATTTTGTTTGTGAATTGATGCTAGTCAATACTCAAGTTGCCATGTTGAAAAGCGTATTTTATATATTTTTTTATTGTTGGAATGTTATTGACGCACGATTATTTTGATGTTGGAAGTTATGCATAAAGAATGGAAGTTTTGCTAACCTAAATATGTCGTGTTTAATTTATTTATCAACTGATTTGGGGTGAGGATCAACTAATTCTTCTTCTCACAAATTTAAATACTGATAAAGATACTTGAGAAACAACCAAGCCACATGTCCAAATGAAGTCCACCATTACTTTTGCCCTACTCGGCGATACTGATTTCGGCATTTTCAACAATAGTAACAGGTAATCGGGAGCTACTGTTTTCAGATTCCACAACATTTTGATTGGACAGGTTCACATATTGGACTTCCTCTACTCAAAATCGTGAGCAATTGACATCTAACCCTAAAAAAAAGACATTAGTTACTCACAGATTGCACCTTAGCGATGCATTTTTGAAAGAAAGATAAGGGGTGAGGACACTGACCGCCCGTGAAAATATATATTGTAAAGGAAGAATAAATAAAAGGAAGAATAAATCTCGAAATCTCCTCCACGACATTTAATGGGTGAACAAAGTTATGTTGCAAAAGGAGGGGACATGTTTCGGGCTTATAATAGGCCCATCATCAGCCAAGGTTTATAACGTCCTACAAAAGTCTGAACTTATAACAGGAATACGGTAATATGTTTACCATTTAAATTTAATAATATTCAAAAACTTTAAAGAACATTTTTCATCCTCATGTAAGTAATAACAACTATTACCGTATTCCTGTTACAAGTTTAGACTTTTGTAGGACGTTGGCTGATGATGGGCTTATTATAAGCCGGAAACATGTCTCCCCCTTTTGCTTCATAACTTTGTTCACCCATTAAGTGTCGTGGAGTTGATTTCGATATTTATTCTTCCTTTAAACACTACCACTCCACTTTGAGCAATATGGACTTCTTCACACATTTTCTGGGGTATTTTCGTGGATCGATTGGTTCCTGAACGGCACTCTAGTATATGTGATGAAGCAGAGTTTTTATAAAGGAGGGCCTAGCCATTTAGTAGCATAAAGTGTAAATATAGGTGTTAGAAACAAACCATGTCATACCAGCAGAGGGACAAAATGTTACAACTCAAAAAGGTATCGCAACACATGTCTGCCTGACAAGTGATGAGAATCTCAAGAAGATAATTTGTCTAGAATCCGCTTGATTCCCCAAGTTTTGGGATCCCAACACCGGTCAGTGGATCATCTAGCCACTCTGAAATTTCCAGGTGTTATGATAGTCTGCAGTTTTGTAACGTTTTGTCTGTAGTGCATATTTAAAGATTTGTGTTAGACGTATTCGCAAGGTTTGGTTTTTTTAGTCGGTAGTGTAACTTGCGGATATTGAGGGGCTCCAGTACGATTGATCAGGCGCTGGAGAGTTAGAACGTCTTAAAATTATGCTAATGCTTGAATTGCAGTTTGGAGTTGAATTAGTGGTCAATAATCTCTGTTATAAAGACACTTCGATACAAAAGAAAAAACAAAAACTCCAAGTCGGTCGAACACCCGAAAGAACTTACAAATAAGTAATTTCCACATTGGAAAAATTAAATGGATAATAATTAAAGATCCACTCTCAAACGAGGACGATGAAGGTCCTTTGAGAGGGAATTTATAATTCTCCCTTCATGATGGATGATCCACCTCCAGTGAAATAGGAGCCGAATTCGGCCTTAGTTCTTGTATGTTCGTAGGCGAAGCTAGCCAAACTCAGCAGAATATGGTCGATTTATAGACAAAGCAAGTAGCTGAACTATTTAGGAATGTCCTTTCCGAAGCAGGACAATCACGAACTTAGATATTCTGACTTTTAAATAATAAAATTATTTTAATCCGGCCCTGATAAGACATTCCTCCTTGTGCATAACATTTATAATATATTCTGCATTACGGATCTCTACCCTTCGGTACTCATCAAAAATTAGTTCACCTTGTCGCTCATATAATATATACCGCCCCTACTGAATAGAATTTTTGGCTTCATTTTAAGGATGGTTCATCTTGTTAGTGTAAATAATCAAGATGGAACATACTTATTTGAAAGTTCCTTAGGCTGTCCAGCCGTTTGAAAAATGTCAACGATTAATTGGACTAATCAATTTGTCTCTGATGGTGGCCTAACCTTTAATTTAGTTTCTTGTCGACGGACTTGGAGTTTTTGTGTTTTTTCTACTGAACATTACCGGGCCACGGCCACTTTGAGTATGGATGGTTTCCATGACTTTGTCCTAACCAAAGATTATACAAACCCTAGATAGACACCGTAAATCTAAGAATGGGCAACGCAAGTTGGGATTGAACAGAGCGGTAGTAATCAGCTGTGCGCATTTATTCATTATAACGCCTCGTATTTTACCGACTCCGATATCAATATTTGGTTAACGAATCAGCACATCCGATAAGCCGCCGGTCTGTTAGATCACATCGGAGCGTTACCAATTTTTACACAGGCGTTGACTATCTAGTTTATGTATTAATGTATGCCCTAACAAATAAACTGCTGGTTAGAGGGGCCACACGAGCGTTATGCAACGCACGTTGAACGGGCGTTATTTTGGAACGCACGAACAAATCTTGCGGCCACATAGGCGTTCAGTTGCGAGCATCAATTTGTTGAATATACATGTGACAATCATAGAAGATCAGCTTGATGTTGTCGCATTTCTAATTTTGCACCTCGAATTACATATTTGAGGAAAAAAGGAAAAGCCGGATAAATAAAGCGTAAATGGTGGGTACATCCTATAAAGAGTGAAAGGTTATTATGTGGATCATTTTGAACTCTATATTATCACTTCCACATGCCTTCATCAGAGGGTTCCCAAAGCACGGGACGTTTTTGGACTTCACTTATCAAGACTTCTACTAACAAACTTTACTGATATTGTTATCAATGAATTAAGAAATTACGCTAATTAATAACAACTTTACGATACGGACAGCTATGTTGCTATATCACAAAAATACTTCCAGAACGTATGAAGCGTCACCTCTGATTTATAGATACAATAACGCGTCTCTCAACGTTCCGCAATCAGTGCCGTAAGACGATGAAATAAAGTTAAGCATTTATAGATTTTCCTGAATTTGACACTCGCCAATCTTGTCATATTGATTTGTGTTATTATTTTCGTTCGGACTATCAAGTATCATTCCAATTCTACCAATGGGTGATAACCTCGATTATGAATATTTGGCACTGCTACAGCTGGAGTTCTGTAATGTGCGGCAGCAATAGTAGCTTTCGCAAATCGGAAATGTTGTCAGTTCAAGATGGGACCTCTGAATAGGTATTGAAAATCAAAAGGTTTCTTTCAAGCTACATACCTGCATGTCCATGAGAACAATCTCCAACCCCAACAATTTTTCAAATATACTCCTATGGATTTGATTCTTTGCAACCATCTGCTCCAGTTTTAATACCTACCACTCATCATAAAGCAACACATAGGTATCTTACATGATCTCAATTCATCATCAATGAATAATGAATGAAAAAATTGAAGTTACCAGATAAATTCATAATCCGTATAATATCCGTGCAATCTCTTTTTTCCAACTAGTAAGTACGTGTAGAAAATTCAGGAGCATTTTGCTGACCTCAAAATAAGAAGAAAAGTTTGTATAAATATATGTTTGAAAGTTATTCGTTTCTGAGATACGGAGTGTCAAAGTTTAATTCTTATTTTTGTTTTTTGTCAATAAATTTCAAAATAATTGTGATATTGGAATGGAATTTGATATCTAGGGGTATTTTTCAATGACAATATATCAAATTTTATGTTAGTTTGTCTCTTACTCAATAAACCATTTTGGAATTTCAACTTCTTGTCATTCCAAATTACTTGCATTGATTATTTCAAGTCTCAATATATCGAAAACAGTTTCCCGCAGCGATCTCTAACAGGAATATATTTTTTACATAAAAGTGTTCTAAATATCTAATTTTCTACTATGAAACATACAGGTACGCACAAAAAAGTTATGACATTCTATAAATAGTACCGGAAAATCCTATGTGTTATCTTCTATCGTGTAACAAAAGTACTTGCGTTACGCTACGTTATTGAATCTTTAAATCAGGGGTGGAAAGACGCCGGTTCAAATGAATATCATGTGCCTTCGTATATTTGACCATTTGTGGAACAAAAGCGCGCGCTTTGTCCACCAACGAGCATACTAGAGAGGCGAGCGACCGTTTACAATGGCTGACGTGCGATAAGTTGAACGCGCGTTGGTAGTGTTAAGGTCGTGACACAATGTAAAGGAATCGAAAATAAAGAATAAAAAATTAGAAATGAAGGTATGCTATTGGTCAATTATTCTAACCTTGAACACGTTTTTCATCCCTATTCCTTATTCTTTTGCATTGTGTTTGGACGTTGATCCCACGCTGGTGTTATTCTACAACGTCCGATACAATAGGTGCGTTTTGTTGTGCCATTCCGGAAGTGATAGAATGAGTGGGCTCAAGAAAACGGATATGGCGCCTGACAATGGAACTGTGGAACCATTTGATATTTCCAACCTCAATATCTGATATTATATTTGTCCTCGTATTAGTCTCTGGTATGTAACCATTTTACCATTACAATCATTCTGCTTTTACTCTCACGAATCAAAAATTGATGTAGACTAATTTAATATCCATGATTCTCAACCAACGTTTGAGAATAATGATTGTATTTATCATATCAATGCCTTAGCCTTAGATGAAGGAATTCCTGGTTTTCTGTGGTTCTCTTCAATTTCTATTCATTATTAATAGCTTATATGCGATAAATGCTGACCATTTTTTTTTCAATCAATTCTCATGTCAAGTCACTTTTATTTGTCATTCCAAATTTTCAATCCTTCTCATGAGGATTGCGAATGGGAAAGGAAATGGGTTTGAATGCACAACAAAACGTGTGCAATGCCAAGAACCAGACTGAGTTATAGCACAACAAAACGCACCTAATACGCGCTATAACTTCCATCATTTGAACGCTCGTGTGACCCCTCTCTTGATACTGCGAATATTCAAAGATAATCCTCATATTATCTGATTCTTCAGTTGTGTGTTGTGTTCTCTAAACAGCCGCACTCACTTCGCTCGGATATTCGTCTGGTGCTGGATCTCGCCGTCGCAGTTCCACCTGCTGCCCCGCTCGTCCCCCCTGAAACAGAACTCCCTGGCCGTGAAGGTCTCCACGAAGGGCAAATCGTCCACCTTCGAATTGGCGCTCGACAACCGCAGCAGCAGCCGCAGATTGTTGAGCACGCTGGTGTGCCTGACCAGCACCAGGTGCAGCATGCCGTCGCCTATACATAAACCAGTCTCAAAAAGGTATACAGGGTGTCGGCTATTTAATGGTACACTAGCAGAACTGCAGACTCTTTGAATGAAGATATTGAGATTTAGCCAAACTTATCTCATAGCGTTTTCCACTCGTCGCACTAGCTCGAACTTTTCCGACACTGAGTGCGTTTTGCATGATCCACTGAGAATTTCAAGGGCGAACTTTTGTCGAGAAATGATTTCTACTGGCTTTCAAATTTGCTCGTTGCCCGCTCAGAGTTCGAGTTTTCAGAACTGTGCTTGTACGACGGTGCGATACACATAACCTCAAATATTCGAGTCACGAGTGGAAAAATGTTTGGAATTTGAATAATTATGAATGTCTCATTGAAGTTTATTGCTATTATTAAGTACAATAATTTCCGAAATCATATACTTCGGATACAAGCGATGATGAAGAAATGATGATTGAGATACAGAAGTACTTCGTTACGAAACAGCGTTTACGGAAGATTCAAATTACCTAAAAGTTGAAGGAAGCTATTCAGATGTGCAGGTATTAAACATATTTGATTGTTGATTCAGTAATGATGAAAAATACTAACTTCGTGAACGACACTTCAATGCTACATCACTATATTGTCGAATGATTCAATTGAACATCAATGACAATGAACATTCAAATATAAGACTGTTTATGGGTGGTTTCTGGCAGTGTTCACAGGGAAACCACAATAAGAGGTAGATGAATCCATTTCATGTGGAACAAAGGAACCAGATGTACTTTTAATAATTCAACTTTTTGATAGAACAATAATTGTTAATAATTATTATTCTGACATTTCTGATGACAAGAACGTCGCACCAACTCTCTATTTCTATTCCACTGCTCTGTGCTAGAACCGCACTTTATGGAAGAACCAAGACAGTGCCACTTGTACTTGCTCTGTGCTAGTGCGCTCTGTAAATCGGCGAGTGGAAAACGCTATCAGTCAAAAAGTTGTTAATAACAAAGTTTCAATTCGCATATCGTTCACGATGACATAACAGCACATTTGACATTTGGGGGATTCTGAGTCGAGAAATTCAAATCCGTTCTTAGTCACTTGTAGAGGGTGCCACTTACGATACATTAAATCTCTTTGAAATGATTTGACTTTTTTGTATCACGGTGTATGAGTCTGAATTTTGAAGATTATGTATTAAGCATCTTTTTCACGAAAAAATGGCATACTTTGCAATAGGGAGTAGACTATTTTTTTATTTCTTAAATAGAATCACTCAAATAACTTTCAATTTCATATTTTCAAAGAATTTTTTGATCGATTTTAAGGTGCTAAAATCATCAATAATGCCAACTGTAATTTTAAAACGGCCAGAAATTTACCGCCAGTAAAAACTGACGCCACGATGTCGTAAGTAGGGGCAGACCATAGCACAGTTGCCATGTGCTGAAATACGATTGGGAATTTCAGAAATATTAGTTATTTGATAATTCATTCTTAATTGAGTATTAGTTATACTCCTAATTAGCAATAAAAATGCAATTGTCTCAAAATGTTCCCTTATGATTTGTGGCTTATTGATTATAATAAATTTGTGTAAATAATAATTATATTAATTCACACTAGAGGACATTTGAATCGGTGAACGTGACAACCACGGCGCACGACTTGTGGGCGTGGTTGTCAGTTCTCAGCATTTAGCACAATGTTGCCAAGTCTCCAACATTCACATGATATGTTGTTATGAAGAATAAGGAATATTTGGACATGCTGGTTGCTCGAAAAAGTCAAGAATGAACTATAACATCATGGGTTCCTCCTATTATGTTTTATTCAACGACAGGACTCCAACATCTTTTTGATAACTTGATTATAATTGGTGACTTGACAACTTTGCTTCATGAGTGGAAATGGAAGATTATCTGACCAATAACGAAACAGCATAAAAACTGACGTCACCATTTATTCGACATATCGCCAAATGGCAGCCATGAAGGTTCGTTTGAAATGAGCTCTGAAATTCAGCAATTTCGAACAACGCATAGACTCATTATTTACATAAATAGAAAAAGCGTGAGAAGTGTTGCGAAAACTAATTTAGGTTCCTGACGACACAGTGGAGTAATTGAATGCCAATAATTCATCATCAGTCCACTCGCCCATTGTCTCACCGTTTTCGAGATATGTGGGAATCAATTATTCAATAAAACTTCGCAAATTCAACATTCAGACTAATACACCATGACACAAAAAATGCATTTTAAAGAGATTTAATGTACCGTAAGTGGCGCCCTCTACAAGTGACATCCATACTAAAAAAAAGATTCGAATTTCTCGCTTCAGAAAACCCCCTCCAAATTTCGTGACGTTTTGCAAATTGAAACTTTGAGACTCTGTATCTTTGTTATTATCATTTTCTGTCCAAGATAAGTTTGGCTAAACCTAAATATTTTTGATCAAGGAATCTGCAGTTTTGCTGTGTACCATTAATTAGCGGACAACCTGTATAACTAAAAAAGGCATTCCATTAATAAATGAAACATTACGAAACATTGACAAATAATACTGAAGACGGTCCCACTTGGTCCTTGAGTGTATCATTGGTATATCTCTCACAGACTCAAAGTTGCAAACTTTTTAATCCATCCTCAATGATTATTACGGAAGATACGGAGGTGCAACCATGGGAAATGTAACACTGAATATATTTTTGCGAATATTTCTGAAGTTGTGGAGGAAAACGGTAAGGCTAATGTTAAATCTCTTGTTTTTGCAGATTGCAGTTTGTAAACGTTGTGTGTTCATGGTTGGTCTATCCATTTATTTATTTATTTATTTTTTATGCATTCGAGTATACACGGTGACATTTTGACAACTTCCCCCCTCCAATCTCTTCCTTCCAGTAAATAATATGAAAATTCGATAAGACCGGTTCATTTTATTTCCAAGGAGGGCACTTGAAATGAATATTTTTAGCCCTCTTGGTTCAACCTCCTCGGAGGGGTAGATGTTACCATCAGAATCTCGATTGGGAAGGGGGATCAAGTGGCGCATCATTTCGAAGAGCGTTCAATTCGCTTTCCAAAGGTACCCTAGTTTATCATTTTGTGTTGCGCACTTTCCGAAAAATGCCGAGTCAATTAGAAAACTTTCCACCAGAAATATCTTCCTTCCAGTAAATTATATGGAAAATCGAAAAGACACAAAGTGGTTATCCTATGGATGTCCCAGATGTCCTGTTGAGGATATCCATTGGATGACCAATGGATGAAGGTGTGTTATTAGGGTTGTCGAAATTATGGAATAATGATCGTAACTCTCCATACAATCCAAAGTCATAGGTTTTCAACTGAGTTAGCATTTCTGCTGCGCCATTATTATTTTCACTTCGACTCAACAGCGATCTCACCCAGTACCTGCGTTGTCGACGCTTTTTCCTTTTCTTTTCAAGAGAATTCATAATTAACCATCCACAAGACATGATGGAAAAATCATCTTCACTGCACATGTTCTCACTGTACAGTCTGACCACCGGAAATGAGTGAAAACTTAAATGAAACTAGAACTCGGTTAGGAGTCCGTTTATTTGCAACAACGTTTCTGATTTGTTTCTGTTTTGTTGCAACTTTTGTCGGAGTTTTCATTTTCGGAAAAAAAGTTGCAACTTGACGTGTATGTTTGGAGGAAATCCGCCTCAATATTGACCAGTCAGACACACATGTAAATTGATGATAATAAACTACTCTACTTTAGAGTGACTTTATACATAGAGTGACGACAATAGACATCCAAATGGCTGCCATTTCCGGAATGTCAATTCACTAAATAGCTAAAAATCTGAAGGGCATCTCCCATGCATTAATGAATTTGCGCCTTGGAAGTGCCGACCAGATGTTAGGTTTAGTTTTATTTCACAATCTGAATAGTCTGAGACTTAGGAGCCCTAAAAGACGGATTCTAATAGTTAATATCCAAGGTACTGACGTATAGAGTTTCATGTCTGATTGTTGGATGTTTCGTGTCCAAAGAGAAAAAACAAAGACAAAGCATTGGCAAAGTGAAATAGAATGCATAGAATTGAATGGAGAAAACAAGACAGGTGGAAGCACCTTCATATTACAGGTCTGACCAATCAAAAAGTGTACAACTATTGTCGTCAGTCTACTCTACTCTACTTGCCTAGGTGGCTGTAGGGCGCGATGCCTCTGGGACTACGGCTGCACGCGCAGCTGATGTTCGCGCCGCTGATCATGAAAAAGTTGCCGGATATCGTGCGCCATTTGCACGCCAAATCGGCCGCGTTCGGGCTGCCGCTCGACCGGCATCGGGCGCAGTTCTCTCGGCAAGGTTCCTCGGCGACAGTCTCGTTCTCCGAGTAGACGGCGATCTCTCCTCGGTATCCTTTGTTGCCTACCAGCTTCTTGAAGCCTGAAAATTATAATTTATAACTCGTTTTTTCAAAAAATATTCTTGCTCTTCCAGGGATCCGAACCTAGCAACTGAAATATAATCATACTCTTTATTTGGCATGGTGCCGGTTAGATTATAGGTAAACGATTTCAATATGCCATATAATGGGTAGACGATTGTATGGCGTAGGTAAAAACATAATACGAATTGACACTATTGGCCCAGTGCCGGCTGAATTATAGGCAAACGAATACAATATGCCATACAATGGGCCGACGTTTAACCAGTGCAGCTTGACCATGGCTAGCAATCTGCCGATCTATCATATACTGGGCCAGAAGGCGGCCAGAGATTTGATGTTTGCTGAGAAACTACAACATCCCAAAATGGGGATTCTATATATTTCACACACAACAAAATATAAAAGGAGGCCAAATATTGAAAATAATCCGTCACGAGTGTCATGTTTTCGGCATATTCAAGATTTTGTTCAAATTTTTCATTGAAATTAATTGGGAGCATTAGTAGTTTATTGAGCAGGAATTGATAATATATCATTAGTTGAGTGAGTATATTGTGCTTTCATCATGTACTTACTGCTGCAATGTTCGAGGATTATTTGAAAATACGAAAATTCGTTTCATTTTATGTATCAAAAGTGACTAAATGAACTATTATAACAGGATTTTCTTGAGTTAGGACTTCTTGTCGTTCATGAATTCACCATTGAAAGTCGAAAATATCACGCATCGTTCCCATTTGAACAAAAAATTGTGAAAATGAAAATGTGAACTCAAATGAATGTCATGATGCCTGTAAATTTGGTTTGAAACTTCGGAAATTTAGCAAGGTTCTCCCACGCCTCGCTATTTTTACAAAGTACGCGATATTGAGAGATTTTGAAACTCCTTTCAATAGGAAGTGATAACACCATTTGACTTTTTATACATCTATATTAAGCTGTGACTGTGCGTACATGCCTTTTCGAAGTAATACGTCATGAAAATGGTCGAGGAGCCGAAACTCAAAACTTAACGATTTTTTTCTGAACTCAAATTTGATCCTACGACAAAAATAAATAATGTGTGCATTGAATTCTCATAAACTATACAGATGAATGAAAATTTGAATGTTAGAAATTTGCTCATTGTGATAAAAAATTACTAACCAGAGAAGTCGTATCTATGGGGTCCCATCCACCGATATTGGTCGCTGTGGTAGGCGACATCTCCCAGATAACCATAGCTAAGTACGCTGGCGAACAAACGTAGTAAAGTATGTTCATCATATACAGAAACTAAGTCTAATCCTATTGAATCCCCGAATATTATTTGTAAGACAGCAGTCGTTACATCTGTAGTTCCATGAATGCAATAGGCTATTGTGTCAGTACTTCCACCTTAAAAAAAAATACATTCCCAATTAATAATGTTCAAGAATGTTTTCATGGTAGGATAGGGATTACTTTCAGGCATTAACTGTAAAAAAAGTATATTATGCATCCTTAAGAATCACATATTCATAATACTCGCGAAGCATCTTTGGTTGGAAGTACTGTTGACCGTATAAATAAAAATTCGGCTGCGCAAGGAACTAGGACATATACAGAACAAATTCACGAATATGAAAAACTCTTCAACAAGTATGGAATGCGACACGCAAACTTCTGAGTAGGCGAAGAAAACTGGGGGGCAGTATTCCATCATTCTGACCAATTATAATAAACAGATCCGTATGGCGAAGAAGGAAACGTGGAGGCGTTTCTGTGGAGAGGTGGAAACAACCTCAGAAGCAGCACGCCTCCATCGGATCCTGGCCAACGAACCTGTATATATTAGTGTGACCCATTTAAGATGGAAGCACCCTTATAAAACTTACATTTTTCAACCGATTGGAATGATTTTTTTTTTGTTCGGTAGATATTCAAAAAGTCTATTAGGACACTAAATATCATGAATAAATCTCCATTTCCAGGGCCAACTAATCTGATTTTTCAAGGTCAAAAATCTAAAAAAATTACTAGCGATTTTTTTAGAAAAAATCTGACTACACCACTGGATTTGTGACATTTTCAAATGGGTAACATGTAAATTACGTTGAAATGCGTCAATCAATAAAAAAGTTATAAAGGAATGAAATTTGAAAAATATGCCGTTTAATCAACCCACCAATTCATGTTCAGGAATTTTATGAAAATTCTGTATACTCCACTGGATTCAGGATGTCTTGAAATATTACTGATCACAGTTTCATCGAAATCTGTTCAGTAATAAAAATTGATGGGTTGATTAAACGACATATTTTTCAAATTTCATTCCTTTATAACTTTTTTATTGATTGACGCATTTCAACGTAATTTACATGTTACCCATTTGAAAATGTCACAAATCCAGTGGTGTAGTCAGATTTTTTCTAAAAAAATCGCTAGTATTTTTTAAAGATTTTTGACCTTGAAAAATCAGATTAGTTGGCCCTGGAAATGGAGATTTATTCATGATATTTGGTGTCCTAATAGACTTTTTGACCTAACAAAAAAAATCATTCCAATCGGTTGAAAAATGTAAGTTTTATAAGGGTGCTTCCATCTTAAATGGGTCACACTGTATACAGTATGATGCAAATGTATGAAATAAATTCATTATTTCAGAAATGGGCGACATTTGAAGAAATTCCAAAAACACGTGAGTTCTAATTTTTGAAACCTCATCTCATGACATTCATATGAGAGATGTTACGTCACCGGTGTTGGAGTAATGACGTAATGGACGGTATTTTTAAATACAAACAGGGGTCATGTGACACCTCGTTTGAAAGGTCTACTGATCGTCTATCCAATAGTAAAAATTTTGCAAAAGAAGATTGAAATTAAAATGGATTATCATTTGGTTAACTGAATCTTGCAGAGATCTTCTACTGAGAATTGAACATCGAAGGGTCGTCTAGTTGAGAAAATACATCGATAAAAAAGTTCTGAACTCTACTTTTTGGATTTTTTTCGGAAGTCGTCATGTTTTGAAATGAATTTATTCCATACATTTGCATCATACTGTATATATATAATATATAATGAAACCTGACGGGACATATATCGCGTTCGGTATTTACATCAGACTGCTCCGATGATCTGAATCGTTCGTTTATGACATCTACAGTGTGTCCATTTAGTGCGTAATTCTTCGATATCTCGAAATCAATTATCACAAGAGAAAAACTTTGGAGTAAAAACTTTTTCAGTTACTAAAGTTGCTCATTTCGAAAATATTTCCAACGATACTGGGTGTTTCATAAAAGCGGGGCAACTCGAAGACGAGTTTTTTCAAACGGAACTCCCAGTATTGTTCATTCGAAATTTATTCCGCTCAAGTTCAGCTCTACATCGCTGTAAAAAAAAAATTGAATTTGGTTGCGCCGTTGCCAAGTTATAATTGATAAACCCATTTTTACTACTATTGAAGGGTCATGTTCAATTGGGTATGGTATATTTATTTATTGAAATTTTGAAAATATTTTTGGCATACAGTAGTAGCAAAGTCTCACGTATACCAATCCAGTAATCTTGCGAGATACTCCTCTACAGGGTGCTGAAATTTACATTCTGAATATTGTAAGATTCAGACGACGATCATAAGAAATTTTCAAATGGAACACCCTGTATTTTCCATCACGGATTCATTTCGACATCATTCGCCTTTTCATCGCAGGAGAAAAAATCGAAATCGGTTGCGGCGTTTTCAAGTTATGAGTAATTTCCTTATTTTTATTACTATTTCGGGGTAATTTGTTCGTCCTGATGGTTCCTTAATTTGATTTGAGTGTGGGAATATTGCTTGCCACATGACATTCGAGATTCTACATAGATCATTCAGGTATTTTTGTGATATGTGCATCGTCAAAATTTGAAATATTCCGTAACCTTGTTATTTATGATTCAAATAATATGTGAAACAAACAACCATACCAAAAGCAACGCCTGTCTTTGGAATAACTCCTACAATACAAACAATGAAGATGCGTATTGCGAAAATTAGGAATTTTTTTCGAAATTTGGGCCATTTTTATTGTCGTTATTTCCACAATCCAAATCTCCATTTACCTTGAAGCAGGTAAACATAATGATACAAACAATATGTCTCTACTACGCAGCTTTTGGGAGGAAATTCAGCAAAATTTCGAATCAATCCAAGATATATTTGATTGTAGCGATGTTTGACAGGTCATTACACAAATATTTCGAACAAAATTCGAACTTGGAGAGCCTGTAAATGTTCCTTTTGTAAAAAAATATATGAATGGTCAATGAAAAAATTTGATTATACCGTAGCAACGCAATATTTCCACAATACAAATAAATGAAAGAACTATGACGTACAAATTACCACGAAATAGTAGTGAAAATAAGGAAATCAACCATAACTTGACAACGCCGCAACCGATTCCGATTTGTTTTCCAGCGATAAAAAGGCGAAAGATTTCGAAATGAATTTTTGAATAAAAATACAGGGTGTTCCATTTGAAAAATTCTGATGAATGTCATCTGAATCTTGCAAAATTCTAAATGCAAAATTGAGCACCCTGTTGAAGAACATGTCGCAAAATTACTGGATTGGTAAACGTTGGACCTTGCTCCTACCGTATGCCAAAAATATTTTCAAAATCTGAATAAATGAATATACCATGCCCAATTCAACATAACTCTTCAATAATGGTAAAAATAGATTTATCAATTATAACTTGGCAACGCCGCAACCGATTCCAATTTTTTTCACAGCGATGTGAAGGTGAACCTCGACGGAATTAATTCCGAATGAACAATACTGGGTGTTCCATTTGAAAAAACTCTTCTTCGAGTTGCCCTGCTTTTATAAAACACCCAGTGATATTGAAACCAATTTTGAAATGAGCAACTTTAGTAACTGAAAAAGTTTTTTCTCCAAAGTTTTTCTCTATAGGTTATGGCTTTCGAGATATCGAAGAATTACGCACTAAATGGACACACTGTAGATGTAGGGGAAGTAGATCTCATCCGTTCGGCAATTAAAATCGGAGCGATCTGACAAAGATCATAATGCTCGGAGAATTTTGACCGAGCAAAGCGATTGATCTGAATTTTTGATGTTCATGTTCAAATGTTTATGTATGACTGGCCGTTGTGCTCGTATTCGTATTTTCAAAATAACGTTTTCATAATGGAAGAAATACAACTTTTTGATTCTGAGCAAGACAAAACACACACCTTTATGGTGTCAGATGAGAATTATGAAGAAAATGTTGCTTGAATTGCAGGTCAGTAAAATGAGGCACTGTTTCTTCGGCAAAATGTTCAACTTTTTCCAAAGCACATCGTTCCTCTTCATAGTCTTCATCATCCTCTTCAAAAATAATTTGATGTTCCGAAACAAGAGCTAGCACAGTTTCTGGTATACTCATATTGAAATGAAAATAAATGAAATAAATAAATGGGGTTAGGTTGGGTTACCGTCACACTGTCAACAAAATGTCCACTTCGTTCGTTTATTGCCGATTGCTCCGATCTATCTGTGACCACGTGACTAGAATCTGCTCTAATCTGCGATGTAAATACCGAACGTGACTATATACTGAAACTGACAGGGAAACTCTAGAGATTCTACTTCAGGCTCATCTACCAGATTCGGTTGAGAATTAAAAACGATAGTCTTCTACAAGACCCACTAAACCCTCACCTGAGGGCTGCCGAGCGGGACTGTTCGGTATCGAAGAAGATTGTTGACTACAGTTAATTGATGTGAGCCATAGAAACTTTTGAATCCTATAAAGCGCCAGGACCGGACGGAGTAATCCCTGCAATGCCACAGTCCAGCTGGCTCCATTTATTTGTGGGTTATTGAGAGCAAGTCTAGCAACGGGTGACATACTCTCAGGTTAAGGCGTTCAAGCCGATAGCTCTATCATCATTCATGTTGAAGGTGATGAAGAAACTAATTGAAATGCAAATCAGGGAAAACTTCCTCTTTGAAATGCCACTACATATAAACCAGCATGCATATCAATAGGGAAAATCCTGTGAAACGGCTCTTCATCAACTGGTGGTGAAAATTGAAGCCCCAATAAGCTCTTGCAGCCTTTCTGGATAAAAAACATGCTACACAACAGAACAGCGGAATCTTCATTGCTTGGCGAAAACATGGAGGTGACAATTTCTAGGGGTTGCCCACAGGGTGGAGTTTTCATTCCTGCTGTGGGATTTGGTTATTGACGAGGTCCTGGAAAAACTAAACAATGCAGGAATCTACTCACAAGGGTATGCAGATGATCTCGTCATTCTTGTAGAGGGGCGGCATCCTGAAATTATTTCAGACCTGATGCAGCGAGCCCTGAATATAGTAGAGGGTTGGTGCAGAAAGGCAGACCTTAGGGTCAACTCTAGTAAAACTGCACTTATGGCCTTCACAAAGAAGAAGGAACTGGCCAAACTAAAAGTTCTCAGAGTTTTTGAAACACAGGAGGTTAAATATTCTGGAGTAACCCTAGATGCTAAGCTTAACTGGAACACTCAACAGCGAAAGACTGTCAGCAAAGGCGAAATGGCACTAATGGCTGCTCGGAGAACGATTCGTAACACATGGGGACTGAAACTACGCATGGAACATTCGCTGTATACTGCTGTGGTGAGACCAATGATTGTATACGGATCGCTTGTCTGGTGGCTTAATACTGATCAGATATTGGCTATAATGGAGCTTTCAAAACTGTAGATTGGCATATCTCTGCATCACTGGTGCAATGCGCAGCACTCCTACCGCTGCTATGGAAATCTTACGCAACATTCCGCCTCTTGATATCTTCATCAAGGCGGAAGCGAGGATGGGGGCACACAGACTGGAGTGTAGTGGCAACTGGCATGCTAGGAGTGCTTCCTGGGCATATCAAAATAATCAGCCTAGTTTCAAGACCACTAATGGAAATGGAAAGTGATCAACTGTTGCCCAGAAATAACTACTACAGATCCTTCAACACTCGTCTCTACTGGGAAGAAATGGCCTTCACTAACACTGAGGAAGGCACGGTAGTGTGGTACACTGACAGGTCTAAGACGGATGAGGTTACGGGATGTCTCAGAGAGAATATTGTGAGAGGATACAGAGATAAACAAAGCCTCATATGCTCAGATAGTCAGGCAGCCAACCAATCTATAAAATGCAATAAAATCAGATCAAGACTGGTCTGGGATTGAATTCAAAGCCTGCTAACCCTGGCAAATCACAACAAGGTCACGCTTCAATACGTGCCATGGCATAAGCAGCTGACGGTCTTACTAGGCAAGGGCTGCGGCGTTGTTTATTGGACCGAACCTGTGTTCGGAATCCCCAAAACCTCAATACGCGGCTGGCTGGCAAGGTGGACGCAAGAAAGACATCAGGCATACTGGAACAACGTTCCAGGACAAAAACACAGAAACTGATGGTTGGAACACTGTCCAGAACATTGACTAACGACATTCTGAGCCTAAACAGAAGTCAGATCAGACAAGTGACTGGTCTAATAACCGGTCACTGCCCCTTGAGGAAACATATGCATCAAATGGGCATCTATACAGACGAACCTATATGCAGACTATGCAATGAGAAGGAGGAAACGGCCACCTATGCGATATTGGAGTACGAGGCACTAGCACATTGAAGATACAACCTTCTGGGAGCACTAAACTCACATGAGGTTTTTCCAACGAAAGATTTGGTGAAGAGGCTGCTAAACCTCATCAAGGTAGCGAACCTGTTCACCTGAGTTAACGGCATGATCAGGAATACAATAGGCCCAAAGGCTGCAGTGTTGTGGGCTTCGAACCCTGACTGGTCATTCTGCTATAAATCAATCAATTAATGGGATGCTAAAACTGTTTAGTTATTTATATAGTAGTATATTCATTACCTCAATAAATAAATGAATTTGTATTGACAAAAATAAGAAAGTAATGCACGGTGATAAATACCGCAAAAAGAAATACTTACCTGGAATGATACCAATTGGAATCTTCGGTTTTGGCAGCGACTGATTAATATCATCAGCGTCGATTCCATTCTGTCGGCATTCCCTTAAAACTAACCCGTTGAACAACTCAGAAACAGTCCCATCACCACCCACGCAAGCAACGGCATCGAAAAACTCTAGGTTGTGGCTGATCAGGTAATCCTTGATCTGATCTTTCCTTTGTGAAACATTGACTGTGACTTCAACGCCAGCCACATCAAATAATCGCTTTCCGAATTTCTCGTAGATCTGCATGGCATTCCGTTTGCCACCGAACGGATTGACAAACAGAAGCAAATGTTTCGGCCGTTTCTCAAAACCTGAAAGAATCTGATTTATATTATCGGGGATAATCCGAATTGAGGCTTCTGAATCCAGTGGTGGACAAAAATGTGAATTTATTGCTGTGACTTCTTGTGAATAACGGTATATCATATTTGATTTCTCACCTTTCAAATGAGCTTGCAAAGTTTTCACCCACGATGAAACCTGTTGGGGATCTGTATGTTTTAATAGTAACTTTTTGTAAATCCATTTCGGTCCCGACTCCCTTTCAGCATAATGAATTGTGAACGATAGAGGATCTATTTGTCTGATCTCGCTGGGGTGACAACTTTTGTAATTATATTCCACAGATATCACATTTTCAATTGGCACACTTTTTTTATCTACAACATAAATAACTAGAATCCAAAAAAAAATTGAAATTTTCGCTAATAGTTTTTCTATTTGACCCTCGTAACCACTGATTTCTGAGAACAATGAAAATGCTAAGATTGAATTATAAATCATCATGCAAACATTTTATTATTACTTGTATTGCTATATTTATATAGGGTAACTCGTTAGACGTTTATGGAGAACGGGACATAAGATCATTCTGAATTCTGCACCACCCTGTATTTGTTTCAATTAAATGTCAGTAGATAGTTGTTGAAAAGTTGAGATAGGGACATGTGAGCCGTTTTGACCAATGATGAATAGTTTCGACAAAAAAAATTCCCAAAGTTGAGAAATGTCGATTTTTCACACCCATATCTCTGTAATCAGGGTGTTCCATTTGAAATAACAAAGTTGTTGCTACTTTTCGATAGAAGCGGCAACGCCGCAGAGCTGAAAATATTTCAGATCGATAGACCAAGAGCAACTACGTGAGTAACCAAAATTTCAGAATGATCCTATGTCCCGTTCTCCATAAACGTCTAACGTACCATCGACCGTGAGTTACCCTGTTGTTGAAATATAAAAAGTTCAAATAAATCCACGAAAAATAGTATTGTCATGTTGACATTTCAATAAATGTTGGAAACGGATCGAAATATTGATATTTGAAAACCTTCTGAAGGTCATTTCAGGAATTCTCTCTTCATATACTTTTCTTCTGTGAAAACTTCATGATGAATAGATGGAAAATCACAAGCAAAGGAAAACATCGGTTTTGAGCACCGCTTAATTAATATTTTTTACTGTTTAGTTTTTTTGAAAATAACAGGAAATCTAAATCGAACCACTTCCAGATCTAAACCTTATCTACATGAACTTCCATCACTCATTATTGCCCTTATTAAGAAAAAGAGGAAGATGTACCGAGAATACTGACAATAAAACCCTAACCAAGACTTCAAAACACATTTGATCAGGTATAATAAAAACATACAAAATCTAATATACCAATATAGTGAAAACAAGTGGATCGAGACATGTGATGAAATCAATCAAATGCAAGGGAAACATTACTGGCACCAAATCATGCAAGAAAATTAGCAGGTATAAACCAAAAACTACATCCCACCATCTTGAACAAAATGTTGAAATATACACAACTGAGGAAGAATAAAAAGCAACAATATTTGCGGACCATTTCACAAGCGCCTTTGAAGAAGATAGAGACGAAAATCTTTACCAAAAAGTCGAAGAATGGTATAATCAATACTTTTGAGACAATCCCCAAATGGATGAATATAATATTGACGAGGAAGAATATTTCAAAATAGTACACCAAGGCAAAAACAGCGCGCCCGGAATCGATAATATCACAAAAAATATAATTAGAAAACTGGACTATGATATTCACCTTTTCATTTTATCAAAATGTATGAATATTGTATAAATACACAACACTTCCCACCAGAGTGGAAGAAAGGAGTAATAATAACAATTCCAAAACCAAACACGAACCACAGTCAACCAAGAAACTACAGACCAATTATAGCGAATTCCATTCGTAAACCTGGTGGTGCACTGGTTTTGCACCAGTTTTGCACCCGCACTACGTTAGTTCTCTCCAAAATGTGAACTGGTGCATTCCCAATGGAATACGAAATAATATAATAAAATTTTATTGTTGGAGGTTAAATCGGATAAATTTGTTTGTCTTTGTTTATTACTTGTCCGCATCCTGAAATTCTTTCTTGGCTTCAGGAACAAAGCAGATGTTCCATGGAATTAATTTTGAGCAGTTTTTTCAATAAGTACCTCTTCATCATTGAATTATAGTGCAAAACTCTCAACAGAATTATAAATTCTGGGAAGTAATCTCTCTTATTTTCTTGAAACCTCCAAATTTTCATCACTACTTGATGATTTTCATTCATTTTTGGTTTTTAAACCATGCATATTCAATGATTCCGCCATTTTCAAAACTGCACTGACTTCGCACGACCTATTAGAGCTCGTGCGAGAATTGTTGCACTGAGCTCTAAACTATGCGAACCAGTTTTCCAATGGAATTCAAAATCCGACACCAGTTTTACCAATGGAATACAAAATATGCACTTAGTGCGAGCCAGTTTTACCAATGGAATTCGCTATTTCTCTCCTCCCAGTGTTGGGCAATAATAACCTTGAAAGACTGATGAAACAAATGATGGAACAAACAATAGGACATGCAATCCCGGCTCACCAATATGGTTTTCGCCAAAAATGTGGAACAGTACATCCCATTTCAGTACTTGTATGAAACGTACAAGCATGCAAACTTTCTGGATATCATTCCGCAGCAATTTTCCTAGATATAAACAAGGCCTTTGACAGTGTATGGCATAAGGGAATGCTCTACAAACTATTCATGTTGGACTGCCCCAAATATATGATACACCTAGTAGAAGACCAAGGTCCGTCTAGTTAATAGGTTGCCTTATAAATTTCCAGCCAATCAGCGACCGCGTGAATGACGTCACTCTGTGTTCCCATGCGAATTTGTTTATTTTTCGCCAATATGTCAAGTATGTTAGGTTAGTGTCACCGAAACCAAAGAAATCTCGTGATTTTCTGATTAATCTTAGTAACTATTTCTCAATCAATAATACTATATTCGATGTGCGAATAATTTGAAATAGTATTCCCTTGTATGGATGTTTCATTCAATTCGAAGATACAGACACTACAAAATAATAGCCTGAATGGTCACCCATTCTCCTTGGTATGTTCCGAATGTATCAGAGAACGAATATCAACTTACGAAAAAGCCACTACCCATATGAAAACCAGATATCCCAAGAATCAGTTGACTATGCCCCTGAAAAAACACCCAAGACTTTCTTTGGTCCAATCTTCTCAAGTTTCAATTTTTAATCACTGGATCAATTATTAGATCTTTGGGTTCATATCTCTGTATATTTTAATATTTGTGATACCTCAGAGACAAAATGAGAATGCCTGTATATGCATCAAACCTCAACTTTGTTTTGATTTTGCCTTCACTGCTGACTACTGTAATAGTGATACAACAGAAAACAAGGTCCATCAAATTAAATTCTAGTAGGTATGACTGATTTTAAGTAAACTCTGCAAGGAAAGTATATAGGTAATCTATTATAGGATTTGATAATTCATTAAATGTCTCATTGGAATAAAATCACAGCAACTGTATAATTTTACAACTATTGTTTGCCCTTTATAATTTGATAATGTTGTCATGAATACCTACTGATGGAATATTGTGTTATACAATTTATGAGAAATTAATAAAACTTCTTTCTAATTCCTTCTCATGACTATTATACTAGCTGTATCAAGTGGCCAGTCCCATATCACTGTGTAGGCAAAATCCCACAGCAACTACCTAAGTACAAGAATTTTTATATCAGAATATATTCTCCAGTTTGTATGAGAGTAATAAGAATAATGAGATGTTCATAGGGATTCAGAGGCCCTGAAATATATTTATAAGGAGAGGTGAACCACCTTGGAATCATGGTGTACAGGCATGTGGGATTCCAGTGGAATTCCGGTGGGATTCCGTAGGAATGTGGGATTCTGGTGTACAAAATTTTTAGAAGGTAGGTAGTTTACCCCTTGATTTATAATATAATTATATATAATATAATATCTATTTATCATAAAAAATAGACTTTTGTTAAGAAATACAATTTATCAAGAATACAGAGATGGATAGATTTATTGGTGTTGATATACATGGTCTATTTACACAGGTCAAGGTCAATTATGCTAGCATACATAACAAAATAATATTGTAAAAATATACATGAAAGAAAAGATGAAACAGGTTCATTTAAAAATTATGTTATATCAATAAAATACATATACATTATAGAGAAAGAAACATGAAATATCAGAAAGTCATATTAAGGTATCCTACATTTATTATAATAAAATAACACCATTACTCTCTGAAGCATTATTAACATATGGAATAAAGGTTAAAGGCACATTTTTATGTTGTCTTTCTATTGGAAATACTATTTTTCATCACTGCTTCTACCATTTTGAGTAATACATTTTTCATATAAATTATTTTCACAAAAACCAAGGAATGAATGGCAGTCGAAATTCTTTGCATAATAAACTAGAACTACTTTTTCCTCCAATTGACGTTAAAAGTGTCTTTAATGACACTTGACAGGCATAATATGTGTATTTTTACTGCCTAGTCAGAAAAGTGAACTTTTTCTGCCTAGGCAGAATATTGTGTGAATTTAAATATTTGTATTTTGCATGAAATTGAAACGAATTTGGAGAAAAAACTGTTTGTTTCACATGGCAGAAAAGGAGATTCAAAGCCTTGGCTGGTTTCCTAGACACAGCTACGCCTTGGCTATGAAAGGCCACGGCATTGAATCTTGTACTTTTCTACCTAGTAAAACAAATACCTATCAGCTATTTGACATTTTTCTTGTAATAGCTCTATTTTTTTTATTTGGATCAGAATATCTTCTGTAGGATTTTTAAGAGGATGAAAAAATAAGTGAATGGTGAACAAAAACATAAGTCATTTACCAACTTGTATCTTCTTCATTTGAAGAATGGGATTTATTTAAAAAAATATGTACCTATACTTAAAACCTTCATCCACTAGAAACTAATGTTTCAAGGAACTTGCACAGAGATCCTTATGTATATACTTGTGTCTACCTGTATAATTAACTTTATACAAATTTATATACGTATATCATATACTAGGTGATTTTGAGGGTTTGGATTACACAGGGTGTTGCGAAATTCGACCGACAACGCTTCACAGATTCTATTCAATTTTGTAGAAAAAAACGCATAACCATCAACTGAGCTAAAAACCAAATAGAAGCTTGCATAGACAATTTTCAATTACTGTAGAAAATTACAAAAATGTCTATTTTTTCTAACAAGTAGGTATATCTAATCAACTCACCAAGAAACATATTTTCGATATAATCTCCTATTGAAAATG